GAACCCCCCACACCTTGTGCAGCTATTACAAATAAAGGATCATGATATGAAGAATTATGGTTCTTTCTCAAATTGTTGCAAAGCCTCATATAATCCTTCAGCGCCTCAATCCTTCTTTGTATATATGCGAAGGAAAAAAATGGTACACCGCATAACCATATTAGTGAAAGCTAATTCCACTTTATGGGGCTAAAATGGTGTTCTTTGTTGTAATTACAAATTAAAATGAACTCACGCAGATTCTGCACCAAGAAAAAAAAGAGACTGCAGTTCCTACCAAATTAAAGAAAAAAACTAAACTATTGATTAAAAATCGATTAAAACATTAATCAGAGACACTTTTGTCGTTCAATGTGATAGTATTCGTGCAATATAAAACGTTGGAAAGGGATTAAGGTTGTGAAGAAGGTGCATTTTAAGGTTGATTGGCTAATTAGGGTTGTTTTAACTCTCTTCAAGAGGTATTGAACCTGAATTGCTTTGTGAGGGCAAGATGATGATCCATTAATCTTCATAGAGATTCACAACTAAATATGGCCTTATTATTTTGTCATCATCTCCACTGTCTTCTTGAGGACTACTTTTGCTGCTTCAAAATGTCAGAAACCTAGTCGAATTCATGAAGTACATTAGACTTCCAATTACTTGAGAATATTCAAGTTGAGATATAACATTGCCTTTATTTTTCTCCAACTTGCATCCAACATCAAAAGGAGTTGCAACAGGTTTGCAGTCAAATTAACCAAACCTTCGTAATATTTTTTCCGCATAATGGGACTCTGTAAGGACACATCCTTCACTATTTCTCTTAATTTGAATTCCTAGAATGACATCGGCTTGACCTAAGTCTTTCATGTCAAAAGTTGAATTCAACATTTTCTTTGTTTTGTTTATTACATCCTTATCAATTTCCATTATGAGCATATCATCCACATACAAGTAGACAATAACACAAGTTTTATCATTACTCTTAATGTAGACACATTTATCATATTCGTTTATTTTGAACCCATGTGTCAACAAGTATGATCAAATTTCTCGTGCCATTATTTTGGTGCTTGTTTAAGTCCATATAATGTTACTTAACTAATTTGCACACTTTGTTTTCTTGCCCTTTAAGCACAAACCCCTCAAGTTGTTCCACGTATATATTCTTCATCTAGTTCTCCAGTTAAAAATGTTGTTTTTACATCCATTTAATGTATATCAAAGTTGTATACAGCTGCAATCTCTATTAACGTCCTAATTGACATTATGCAAGAAACTGGAAAATAGGTGTCGAAATAATCCAACCCTTCCCTTTGGCGATAACCTTTGACTAAACGTGCCTTGAACTTATCAATGGTTCCATCCACCTTAAGTTTCTTCTTGAAAATTCATTTATGACCAATTGGTTTACTACTAGGAGGTAAATCAACCAATTCTTAGGTTCCATAATGGATTCCATTTCACTTTTAATTGCTTCCTTCCATAAAGGAGTCTCGGAAGAAAATATTGCTTCTTTAAAAGTTCTAGGTTCATTCTCGGACAAGAAAGCAATGAAATTTGGTCCAAAGTTTTTAGAAACTTTGATTCTTTTTCCTCTTCTTGGTTCCACATCATTTTCTTGAACACCAGAAGAAGAGGCCTCATCATGACTATGATCATGAATCATCTTTTTATTAGAACCAGATTCCTTTTCTTTGTAAGGAAATATATCCTTAAAGAATTATGCATCTGCCGATTCTAGTATAGTGTTAACATGAATATCAGAAATCGAAGATTTTACAAGAAGGAACTTATAAGCAGCATTATTATTTGCATATCCAATGAATACACAATCAATAGTTTTAGGTCCTAATTTCGTTCTTTTTGGTAACGAAACTTGCACTTTTGCTTAGCAGCCCCACACTTTGAGGGTTTTATAAGTGGGTTTATGTCCCTTTCATAGTTCATAAGGTGACTCGTCCGTCTTCTTTTGAGGAACTTTATTCAATATGGTATTTGTATTAAGTAAGGCTTCACCTCACAAACTGTGTGGAAGCCTAAAACTATTTAACATAGAATTAATCATATCCTTGAATGTTCTATTTTTTCTTTCGGCAATACCATTTTGTTGTGGTGTGTATGGAACCGTTGTTTGATGTATAATTCCATGTTGTGCACAAAAATTTGAGAAGACAGTAGACTCATACTCTCATCCTCTATCAAATCTAAGTGCTTTGATTTTTCTCTCAAGTTGATTTTCAACTTCGACTTTATATGTTTTAAACATATTCAAAGCTTCGCCCTTGATATGAATCAAATAAACATAGTAATACATACTGCAATCATCAATAAAAGTGACATAATAATTCTTTCATCCACGAGTTGGTGTGGATTTAAAGTCACAAAGATCACTATGAATTAATCCAAGTAATTCATTTGATCTTTCCATAATTGACTTTCTAGTTTGCCTAGCAAATTTGGATTTAGTACAAGTCTCACACTTATGATTAAAATCAATTTCGAATTTAGGTAATAATTCTAATTTAACCATTCTTTGCATGGAACAAAAATTAACATGTCCTAATCTAGCATGCCAAATATTAGAAGACTCAACAATATAAGTAGAAGCATTTATTTTATTAGCACCATCAATGGAAATTACATTGAGTTTCGCGAGGCCATCAACCATATATCCTTTTCCAACAAACATCCCACCTTTGGTAAGTACAAATTTGTTAAATTCAAATACAAGTTTAAAGCCCTTAGCAATCTGAATAGGTCCATAAACCAAGTTCCTCTTTATTTCAAGAACATGTAGCACATTCAGCAAGGTCAGACTCTTTCTAGATGTGAATTTGAGTATTACTTTGCCTTTGCTTTCAACTGCAGATGAAGCAGACTTGCCCATATACAACTTTTCTCAAAGGGCAGCATGATGATATTCAATGAACAGATTTCTGCCAGCGCATATGTGCTTAGTAGCACCAGTATCCATCAGTCATTCACTCACATTCGAGACCATATTGACCTCGGACACAACAGCAGCTAACTCTTCATCGATGATTGCCATGTTAGCATGGTTGTTGTTTCCGTTGGCATGATTTCCACCTTTGCGATGATAACAATCTTGTGCCTTGTGACCAGATTTTCCACATATAGCAGACGCACTTAATCTTCTTCGGATTCTTGCCTTTAGGTGCAAGGGCAGATTGTACAAATTGCTTGGTTTTCAGAGCCTTATTCTTCATCGGCTTGGCCTTAGAGTTTCCTCCCTCAACATAATTTGCATTGGCTTTAATGGCAGTAAACCTACCAGAACGATTTGCCTTTCTATGGTCTTCTTCCACTCTTAGCCTCATAATCAAATCCTTCATATTCATCTCAAGACACTTGTGCTTGAGATAAATTTTGAAGTCATTCAAGTAAGTTGTTAACTTCTCGATTATTGCCCCAACTTGGAAATGCTAATTGATCTCACATCCTTCGGAGTGCAGTTCATAGATTAATTTCTGGATTTCTTCGACCTGAGAGACAACAGATTTTGAATCCACCATTGTATAATTGAGAAACTTACCTATAACAAATTTCTTTGAATCGGCATCGTCAATCTTATACTTTTTGTCCAAGGATTCCCACAACTCCTTTGCAGTCTTACACAGAGAATAAATGTCATACAGATTGTCATCCAAACTATTCAGAATATAGTTCTTGTAACAAAACTCAGAATGATTCCAAGCTTCCATTGCCATGACAGTCTCTTTTATCATTGGATTCTCATTAGACTTCGAAGCTTCTTCCTTGACAACATGAGCGAGATTCATGGTTGTCAGGAAAAACAACATCTTATGTTGCTATCTCTTGAAATCCAGCCCTTTGAATTTATTAGGCTTTTTAGAGTATTTCGGCAGCCATATTCATAGTCATTGATTGTTGATCCATTTTTTGTTTCAAGATTGTTGGATATATGTCAACAATTTATGACAAACTTATATATGCTAATAATAAATGCGAATAATTTTTTACAAAATATAAACAGAATGCAATAATAATTAAGTAGATAAACAGAAGATTGAGGCTTGCGTATCACAATGTCCTTAAACATAAATTTTGTCCCTACTCAGTGCTTGTAGTTCTACGGATGTTTGCTTCACCAGGATTCAACGATCAAGTTAGAATTCCAACACCAGAAAACTTAACTTCTGGCAAATTTCTTTGTGGTTCTCTCAGTAAGAAGGCTTTTGATTGTAGAAAGAGAATTATGTTTTTTTATGTGTGCTAAATGCCATGCAGATGGATGTATATATAATATGATTATGCATGTTTGCAATAGGTATGAAGAAGGGATGCATTTGTTGGGAGAGAGGGGTGTTTGTTTTCTGCCTTCTTTCACCACACTTCAGACTTCATCTGAAAGGATGAGTTTGTTTGTAAAAAAATAATTAATTAATTAAATCTGAAAATAAATAATTTAATAATTTAATTATATATTAATTATCAATTAATTAGTACACCCCAAAGCCCAACTCCAAGGGTGAGCCCAATTTTATTCTCCATGGTCTATCACTCCAATAACTTTGTATAAAGGACAAAGCCTTATAAAGTGAGGGGACCTTTTGGTGGTGAACAATGTGGGACAATGAAATTCTACTCAAAATTTCCAACATATCTATGGTCACGAATGACTCCCTGAAAGTCCCATTAGAAGTAAAAACAGAAGCAAGTGTAGCCAATTGGCAGCTGCGAAGCCACAATTTGTGGAGAGATTTTTTAGTATGCTGGAAATACAGTCTGGTACACTAATTTTATAATACAAATAGTTGGATATCTAAAAAAAAAATTTAACCACTTGTATTATGACATTTGGTGTATCGAAAACACATACTTGATGTACCGTTTTGTGTTCCGATACTTAGAAAAATTTCTCCTATCTGTGACACAGGAAATTTGGCGCGGGGTCCATCATATCCATGGACTGTGGAGGGTGCCACATCTGCCAAACTCAAAAAGTTTCAAGAGATAATAAAACCTTTCATTTGCCTCCAATTGTTTAAAGCTCCGAGCTTTTGGTGAGCTTCTGAACACTTGAAACTCCACTGCGATGGAGGCTTGCTCTCTGCTTTCACCAAATGTGACCGCTATTCCCTCCTCTCTATCCCAAAGTAGGTTTGCAGAAAAACCCCTTCTGCGTGGCCAGATCCTCAAATTTTCCAATTCCAAGAGGTACCCAAATGCCAGGAAGCTTGGATTTCTTCATGTCAAAGCTCAAGCTTCAGGTATGTAATATTTCTTTTACTGTTTCGTTGAAATGGGTTTGTTATGCTTTTAATTTTGATTAATGATATGATGCCCCTTTTCTTTTGTTCATCTGGAATTTTTTATCTTATTATGATTTTACTATTGTTTATTTGTTCTATGTATTTGTAAAAAAGTAGTGATGATATGATCCAATCCAACAATCAAAATGTACTAAAATTTTACCTACTTCACCACCTGCATCATGTTCCCTAATCCTCCTGCTACTGCTAGTTCTGCATATATTTTGCGAGAGAGCAAACTAGACCTAGAAAATAAGCTACATTAAGGGATCGTTTGGGAGTGTTTCGGTAGAAGTGATTAAAAACGATTAAATGTATGTGTAGAGAAAGGAAATTTTGTTTTTTTTAATGGTAGGAAGGGACTGATGTAGGAGCACTTATAAGTTATCAAACAAAAGCAGGTGTCATTTGCATTTAGAGAGATGAAATTTCAATATAGTCTAGAAACCCTACACTTACAGTAAGATTTTGAGGCTTGTGTCACCAATGTCAACTAGTTTCTCCATTAACTTCGAATGCACCATTATAGTCTAGCACTTTGTTGCACTAGCTTCCCATTTAGGATGTGAGGCGTACTTAAATTAGATATACTCTTGGAGATGTGAATTATGAATCAGTGCTTGTAAGAGTATATATGCTACTGGCTTGCATAAGCTGGCTACAGAATGGTGAGGAAATTATAAAGCATAAGGAAGTGCCTTAGAACGTATTCAACCTACTTCAAGTCACAATCTTATCTTACCTATATGTTAAAGAAAGTTAAGGGGCTTTTCCTCTGTTTAGGTGTGTGCTGAAATGGTAAATTGTTAATCACCGTAACTCCTTCCTAACCTATCTGTAACTGATTTTTACTGTTTTTACAAGGCACCACAAAGTTCAGCTCAGAGATAGTTGAGCCAGTTTCGGAAAAAGGAGATATTAAGGATGAGAATCTTGCATTTGTTGCCGGTGCTACTGGGAAAGTTGGCTCACGAACAGTAAGGTTATCATTTGCTGCTTGCTCTGCCTTCAGGTGATTTTCTTTTCCAACCTGAGACCTGTTTTATTAAATTTCTAAGCTTTCTTAGTGCGATTCAGGGAGCTTTTGAAACTTGGGTTCCAAGTCAGAGCTGGTGTCAGGAGTGCTCAGAGAGCACAAACTCTTGTGCAAGTACGAATTTGATTGGTGATACCATAACTTATGCACCACTTTCCTTAATCACATTTATACTGATAAATCAATTCATCTGCAGAGTGTTAAACAAATGAAGCTCGACGAAGGGATTCAGCGTAAGATTAAAGACTTTAGAACTATCAATTTCTTATTGCATTTGATTTCTATAAAATTTTCAGAGAAAAAAATAAGGAAAAGGTGAAAAAGAGGAGCGAGATAAAGTTTGGATAAAGAGATATTACCTTAACAATATTTGCTTATAGAAAATAACAGGTAGCTTTTGATTTTTAGCCCAGCTGTAGAAAAGCTTGAAATTGTGGAGTGTGACTTGGAGAAACCAGATCAGATTAGACCAGCATTGGGCAATTCATCAGTGGTCTTGTGCTGCATCGGTGCCAGTGAGAAGGAGGTTTTTGATGTTACTGGACCATATCGAATTGACTATCTAGCTACCAAAAATCTTATTGAGGCAGGTAAGCAAGGGTTTTGACTGGTGGCGGGTACAATGTTACTTATATCTTTGCGTGATGTAACTATTTTGACTTTAGTCTTATTTATCTTGCTTGATTTGCAGACCTAAAAGAAGTTACAATGAAAACATTATGGCTTATTGCACTACCCTCCACACACACACCCTAGAGCCTTCTCTTTTTATTTTATTTTAATAGATTTGTGAATATTTTTAGTTTCCATTCCCATAAGTAGAACTCTTCAAACACCCAGGATCGAGAGAGTTTTCACTTTTATTTTTTTGGATTAGCAAAGCTTCTGAAGCATGTTACTCGAAAAAAAGCTTCTGAAGCATGTTTGGTATAACTTACAGTTATTCTAGGAAAGTATTCATCCAGTTTCAACTAGCAAGAACACGATGTTCTTTTACTGCTTAGCCGTTTAGGTGATCTTTTGCAAGTACAAACAGTTATAGATGGGAGGAGTGCAAAGAAATGGTGCCAACGGATCTTTGTATTCAGAATATTTTCAAATCTTGACTGTCTATTCAGTTATGTTTTTTGAACTTTTAAGATAAAAAATGTGAAAATCTTGAGTATCTATCAATGATGTGCAGCAACTGCAGCAAAAGTTAACCACTTCATATTGCTTACATCTCTGGGAACGAACAAGATTGGATTTCCTGCAGCTATTTTAAAGTAAGTCTTCAGGCTCATGGTAGAAATTTGATATATTATCATTTGTAGCTTGTCTATGTACTCGAAACTCTAGAGAAACCGCCTCCTTTTGTTTCTTTTTTGGGTGAACTCACTGAATTTTCTCTTCTTTTATAAAGCTTATTTTGGGGAGTCTTGATTTGGAAAAGAAAGGCAGAAGAAGCACTGATAGCCAGTGGACTTCCCTACACTGTGAGTATTCACAGCATTTGCTGCAGAAAAATCAATGAAATAGATAGGTTGTAAGTTGCTGGATCGTTGAGTTCTTATCTGCGGTCTTCTTCAGATAGTGAGACCAGGTGGAATGGAGCGGCCCACTGATGCTTACAAGGAAACTCATAATACTACCCTCTCAACGGAAGATACTTTATTTGGTGGTCAAGTTTCAAACCTCCAGGTATTCCTTCTGTAAAGATTACTTAATTGTGCACCATGCTGTGGCGTTTCTGTTTTCGGCACTAACTCATGAAAAATAATTAGAAACCAAAAGTAGTAACATCGGCCATATAGTCAGCTTATTCAAAACAAAATACAAAGCCTCTTTCTGAGGCTCAAACACCTGCGTTTTCTTTTTTCTTCTTTCTGAACAAGAATTATAATTTGGTCTCCCATGACTGAGTCAAATGCAACAGTTTTTCACTAGATAGTTTGGAAAGTGCATCAATTGTAATTTTGCGCCATATATATGTTTTCTTCTGCGGATGAAAAGACTTCACTTAGTTAAATCATTTTTCTGTACAAATGATAGGCTAATTACACTAAATTCATCTAAACTACGGGAAGGGGGCTCGAACTTAAGTGCAAAGGGTCAAGCACACTACCCTACCCAACTTGGCTAAACCCACATACTTTGTAAGTTCATTAGAAAGTATAAAATTGAACATCTGTATTTCACTTCTGTCCTACCTTTGATTGTATTAATGTATGTTCTTGTATAGAGACAGGCATGTTGGATTGCGTTTTATGTACTGTTAAAACTCAAATGTTTTTGTTGTTTTAACTGTCACATCAGTAGACTAGAGATAAATCAAATATTGTCCTGATCCTGGTGCTTTTGTTTTCGAAATAAAATTTCTACTCATGCTGTCCATAACTTAACATATATCTGAATTTTAGAGAAACTTGGAATTTATTGAACAACTGTAAAAGTATACTTCTATTTATCAATTCAGGTGGCAGAGTTACTGGCCTCTGCAGCCAAAAATCCCAGGCTTTCTTACTTCAAAGTAGTGGAAGTAATTGCAGAAACAACTGCTCCGTTGACTCCCTTGGAGGAACTCCTCGCAAAGATACCATCTCAATGTGCTTACACTTACACACCAAAGGTTTGTTTGTTCTTTCTTTTGCTAACATTTAGTAAGTAACTAAGGAAATCTTTAGTCCCTATTTTTCCTAAAAGGGCAGAAATGCATTTGAGTTTTATATGTGAGTCTTCAGCTGCCAAGTGAACCTTGGAGAGTTCCCTTATTGCTTCTTCGTGTATTATCTAGCTTTCATTCTTTCACCTTTCCTCATAACAAATATTGTTACTCCTGAACATGAATATCTCTGTTCTTTTATTCAAACAAGTAGAAGTACTTTACCTTTTAACTGTCAGAGCGAAATTGACGCTCTCTATGGTGTCATCAGGAATCATCTGCGGCACCCACAGCTGATCCAGAGCTTTCTAAGAGTGCCAAACCACCAACATCTCCTACTACGTCGCCAAGCACCACGGATCTTCCCACCAAAGCGAGTGATACAGATACCACACCTGCAGAATCAGTAGCTACCCCTCCTCAGGAAGCTTCAAAACCCATCATAGAGAAAGAAAGCATTCAGACAGAAAAGAAAGTTACAAGGGCTTCCTCGCCTTATGCTTCGTAAGCTCATAATATAGACACTGAAAACCTCACCTTATGCTTCGTAAGCTCATATTATAGGCACTGAAAATCTAATAATCTAACTTTCTTTTGACAGAACAACATTGCACTGGTACAAAACTATAGATCTTTCCACAGCTTTCCAGAGTCTGTTTTGGTCTCCATATATGTTAAATTTCAAGTCAATCCAATATCTTTAACCAGTTCTTATCTCTGTTATTATGAAATGTAACAACTTCTGCGAATGAGATAAAATCAGTCTCACAATAATTGCTAATAACAAGCCCTCTTTCACCTTACATTGTGTAAGCTACTTCCAATGCTTTCCTGTCACATCATAGATATGGGACAATTTCTGTATGATGATATGATTTTTTATAGTTATGAGGATTTGAAGCCACCTAGCTCTCCGAGCCCAACACCAAGTGCTCCCAAGAAAACGCCTTTGGATGCCTCAACTCCGGTAGAAGTTGTCACACAATCAAGTGGAGGTAATGATGTTCCAGAAGCTGAGACAAACAGTGTTGCCGAAGAGGTTTCTCCCGGGGATTCACCTCATTATCATTCACCCTACCACGTGTAAGAATTTTCTCATATTTTTATTTTTGTATTCAAAATAAGTGTTTTTTGCTTCTTGCTACTTTGATCATTGTGCTCTTAAATTTGGTAAGTGCACAATCACTAATGCAATGATCTTGTAGGAAGTAACTACAAGAGTTTGTTGATTGAACAGATGTTTACCCTTCATATTATATAAGATTCGACTCAATGAATTATTGATTTCAAATATTATGTTAAATCCAGCTATTTTGTGTCGAATATTAGCCTTTCCTGTGAGTTATATTGTTCTGAGAAATAGGGATTGAACTTATTGTTGGTGTTTTATATATCCAAAGAAGAAAAAGGAACTTATTGTTGGCGTGCTATGTTTCAGATACGACGACTTCAAGCCCCCTTCATCACCATCTCCTACTCCTCCGATCGTATCAGTTTTCTCAGCACCAGCTGCAAACAATGGATCCCCAATCGATACCTCAAACAGCACAGGGCAACTTCCAGCAGAAAATAAACAAAGTGAGGAAGAGCAACATACCAAACCAAAGCCAAGACCGCAGTCACCTTTTTATATGTAAGCTTCTTCATGGTTGCACTTTTGTAGGTCAACGGGATTTCATAAGATTGTTTTTACTATAATAAGTACACAAGGAAGAAACGTATTTAAGGGCTCGTTTGGAAAATGGCTGAAAGAGTTTTTTGTAAAAAGTTTTTAGAACCAATTTTTAGTATAAATGCAAGTGAATTCTTGGAAAAGTACTTGAAGTGCTTCTTACAAGAAGCACATAATTGGTGTTTCTTGCAGGAAGCACTTTAAGTGCTTAATGAACCCGGAAACATGTTTTCTAAAAGCGCTTTCAGTTATTGTAAAAACACTTCCAAACGAGTCCTTAGTCATGCTTCAGTGCCTCAGCGGGGAGTACAAACTAAAACTACAACATACTCCTAGCTTATATGACAGATTTTGGTTTAGGACAACTTTATGAACCCTTGAGGCTTATAAATGAACAGGTATGAGGAGCTAAAGCCTCCAACATCACCAATACCAGTACCGTCCCTAAAATCCTAGAAAGTATCACTGCCATCAATGTTTACGAGGTAGTGATCCCGAAACTCTTCATACTTTCCATCTTCTGAATGAACAAAAGCGGAGTATTTCTGGGTCGTGTGAAACTAAACTGTCTGTGCAGGTTCACATATTCACGCAACTAAGCACTCCACCGTAACAGCAGCATTGGAACAAACGTGGACTTTGCATCAGGGTGTCGGCAAGTTTGTTTTAATGTTCATGAAGAGGAAGCAACTGAAATTGCGGGAGTATTATTCATGGATATTCGAATACCAACATTGTATATGTTACAGTTTTATCTCTTAAATGTGTCTTTTCTTCTTTCAGATTATGTACTCAATATGCAAAACCCAAACAACCTAATCTGGTTTTAACAAATGAGTCCTATGTTTTTGTAGCTTTCAAAAGTTTGGTGAGTGTGACAAAGGGTGGGTCTATATGGTGGGCCCAAAGCCAGCCGAGCCAAACCAATCCGACTGGTTTGGTTTGGTTTTTAACATGACACAAGCGTAATTTATATCGAACCAAACCATTCAGATCAAGGTCTAGTTTGGTTTGCTTTCGCCTATATGAAAGCGCAGAACAGAATCAAACCAACTATTTTACTATTTTTCTTTTACACGAGACATGTTTTAGGATATTAGATTGCAAGTTTGTTACTTTGAAGAAATGGTAACGTTTAAATAATCAAATTGCGAGTTTGTTACTTTCATGAAATGTTGAATATGGTTAGGAATATTAGAGTGTTACATGTGAAAGGGGCTAAAAGAAGAAAAGGGCTCAATCTGCTTCCTGTGAGCCCAAAAAGCAAATTTTCCAGCTCAGCCCAAAAACGGAAACATCCACTCCCCCAAAACACCCCCACACCAACCACCAAAACGAAAGAAGGAAGACTGGAGGGGCTTTTCAGGGTTTTCGGCCGGCGGGGAAGCTGCAACCGGCCAGAGTCTGAGTGGGAGGAGAAGTAAAACGCGAAACAGTGAAATGGGTACAAAGCAAGACCCGACCGGAACCCAGAGAAATGGCGTTGGGCCATCTACTGCTCTCGCCTACCTGGATCCCAAATACTGGTAATTTGTAATCTTCCTCTTTCCCTTTCTTTTTCTCAATCAAGTTCATAGTTCCATTGGTGTTGTTTGTTTCAGGGACGAACGATTCTCCTCTGAGGAGCACTACGAGTGGCTCAAGGACTACTCTCACTTCCGCCACCTCATCCAATCTCATATCACTCCCAATTCCTCTGTAACTTCACTCTCTCTCTCTCTCTCTCTCTCTCTCTCTCTCTCTCTCTCTCTCTCTATATATATATATATATATATATCTCATATATGTGTGTATTTCTTGGACATGTATCTTTTCTAGCTTAGTAACAGGCAATTATGTCTGGGTCTGGAGTATATTATGCTAGGAAGATGCGTAGAGAGAATGGGTTGAATTGATTGATTGGTTATTCGAATCGGGTTGAGTTAAAGTTATGAATCTTATGATATAGATGGATAGTTTAACACTTTATGTGGGAATTGTACAGACTGTTATTTCTTGCAGAATATCGCCTATTTCATTTGCCTCGATTGTCCTGAGCTCCTGTTATGCAAATCTTTTCGAATGAACAAAAATTGTCGATTCATTTGCATCGACTTTATTTTTAGACTTAAATAAGAATATGCATCATGTTTATTGGTTGCATTTAGAAGGGTCGGATAAAGCAGTGGTGATGAGCAATGACTATAATGCAGGTGTTGGAGCTGGGTTGTGGAAACTCACACTTGTCCGAAGAGTTGTATAAAGATGGGGTTACGGAAATAACTTGCATTGATCTGTCCGCTGTTGCCGTAGAGAACATGCAGAAGAAGTTACAGTCTAAAGGTTTTAAAGGTGTGCTGTTTGAACTTTGATATTCTACAAACTATACACACTAGAATTATCTGCTTGTATACTGATCCTAAGACCCTACCTATTACTTTTCCCCGTCTTTCAATTGTGCTAAAGTTATTTGAGTTCAAGGTTTTTGATGATTTTCTAAATTTACAGAAAGAGGAGTTTTTGGTCCAAGTTGTTTATAGTTAATGATTGGAATTTGATTATCAATAATTAATCACTCTATACAAGCAGCATCAAACGTAAAAACTGGTATTGTAAAATTTGTGAATATATTATACCTGATATATATACTGTGCATGTACTTGTATACCTCAGTACGTCTGTTTATTTATTTTCTGATAAGAGATATGCTACGGTGTGTGTTCGACCTTAGAAATAACTTTCTGACAATATGTAATGGCTAAACGGTGAATGTGAATAGTAGTCAGGGCTTGGAACAATTAGTATTCATTACTTACAAACTCTTTATGAGGACAAATGAAAATCTGTCAATTATCTGTTTTGTTTTTTGAGGTAATGGAGAGACAGCAGAATCAAAATTGTTCGCTGCTACTTTAAACTGCGTAATCTGGATTGAATCTTGTCTTTTGGGAGGACATTGGTATGCTATCTCCTCCATGATTTTCGGTGCTCCTGTTCCTAATTAAAAGTTTTTTCTCATCCTCAAGCATAATGAACAATGGACTTCTTTGTCTCTCCGTTGCAGTTTTTCTTGTTTCCTTGGAGCTCATTATTAAATTCCTTCAATTGAACTGATTCTCGGAACACAGTTGATTTGCATTAGAGAGAAAATCTTATTTATCTTTTCCAATATTCTTTATTATCAGAAATAAAAGTTCTGGAAGCTGACATGCTAGACCTGCCTTTTAGCAACGAGTGTTTTGACGTTGTTATTGAGAAAGGAACCATGGTAAATTTACTATTTAATATGGTTTTCCTCAAGTTTTGTCCAATTTCAAGTTATCAGTGATTACTATGATCAATATAATTGTGATTTTTTCCACCACCTAAACCTTAAGTGAGAAAGGTATAATGCTTAATCTATTTTTGATTATGAAGGAGGTACTGTTCGTTGATAGCGGTGACCCGTGGAATCCACGACCTGCAACAGTAACCAAGGTCATGAAAATGCTTGAGGGTGTTCATAGGGTTCTGAAACCAGATGGCATTTACATCTCAATTTCTTTTGGACAGGTAATATACCTATGTAGTAAGTTCATAATACTTTTCCGAGTTAGAAAACCTATTGTTCTTATTTGGATTGTTGCCCGCAGCCACATTTTAGGCGCCCTTTTTTCGATGCTCCACAATTTACCTGGTCTGTGGAGTGGAGTACCTTTGGTGATGGATTTCATTACTTCTTCTATACATTGAAGAAGGTCAGTCCAGAATCCAGATACTGTTTTGTGTGCTCGTCGAGGCTTATATCAACCTTTTTCCTCGCAGAATCGACCATTATGTGATTAACAGTACATTAATGTTTCAGGGAAGAAGATCAGTGGATGATAAAGGATCTAGCAAAGAGAAGTTAGAGACTCAGTCTATTTGTCTTTTTCAAGATGAGTTAGAGGGCGAAGATTATCTTTTCCGAACCAACTTTGATGAACTCAATAGTTAGACGAACTGATTGTACCTTGTATTCATTATTTTCCTGGTGTAACATTCATTTGATTGCATCTCAAAGCCGAGTTACAACTAATCATATAACACATTTAACCTGTAAACGTGCGTTATTTATACGAAATTTGTGTTTCCTTTTCTTCTCTGCGCCTGATTTGGATTTTTTTTTCGGTGCAATTAACTACTCAAAGGTCTTGTGTTTTCATTTGAATAACTAAATTGTATAATTATCAGAGAGACGGGCCAAAAGGCCACTTCCAACAACACAGATATTGTCTCCAAATTGATAATTATCACATGCACAATTCGTATCACAAAAAGGTGGGATATTTCAACGTAAACAGCAATGTAATTGGCTGTGGTTCTTTGAATACTAGTTTGGGGAGTTGTATCTACTCTTGAATCACATCATAAGTATTCCATGAACAGAGTGCAGCCCAAGCAAGGAAGGCTCCTTTTGCTTGACTCTTGGGATTGTGCTGGGCAGTCGATGACGATTAAAAACAATAATTAGAGCCAACACAACCAAGGGTAGAACCATGAATTTTCATGAGGGTGGGTTATGATATACGTTTTTCCTTGTATTGTGTGCGGGCGGCTGATTGGTGTTGTCTTGGAAACAGTTACTCTAGAGAAGACCTGACATTTTGGATCCGATCCGTTAATATTAGTATTTGGATGGATGCTTAACGGGTCAGGTCGCTAACGGATGAACCCGTTAAATAACGGGTCACTTTAGGTCAACCCATTAAACCCGTTAGCACCCGTTAATTAATGATGTTTTAGTAATTTTAGTAAAATCTTAATAATAAAAAATAAACTCTATGCAAAAAAAAAATAATAATAATAATTGTTAACGGTTGAAACGGGTGACCTGTTAGTTTAACGGGTTGAGTTTGGATGATCCGTTAACTAAACGGGTCGGATTAAACCCGACCGAAATCCGATAAATCTGACCCGTTTACAGGTCTACTCTAGAGGAAAGGCTTGAACCCTCGGCCTTGTGCTTAACAGCCACACTCTATCCAACTGAGCTACTCCAGCTGCTTGCTCTCAATTTCAAAAACAGTTTTTCTTGTAATAAAATGCTTTAAATAGTTATATTGATGGCCAGTCCGGAGCCCCGATTCTGTATTTGGTATTTACAATATTAGTCGAACATACTATCGAAGAAGGAGCAATCGGTAATTTGCTGGAAATCATAACATAATACCTGGTTTAATCATAATGTCTCAAGTTCAAATATGTCGTGAGTTAGATTCAACAATATTATAATGGTCTTATTATTGATTTAGCCCAAATTCCCAATCCCGATAAAAACAAGAATAAGTTCAAATATGTCTCAAGTTCAAGTATTGATGTTTACGGATTCTAATAACTAGTAAGATGGTAGTGAGTAGTGATGAGTTTATTTATTTATTTATTTATTTTTTGAATAAAGTAGATTAGTATTTTTAGTAGCGATGTTGAGACACTCAAAAAGCATTCGATGTATATGATACCTTATTAATTAGTCGAGTAGAAATAAGAATAACAAATTTAATACAACGCACTAAAAGAAATTGTTATACACTCTCATAATAACTATTATGCACACTTTTTTCATTATCATTTTCACCGATTCCAATTCAAAATGACTCTTCGCAATTGATATCAAACTCTTACTAACTCACTACACGATTTAGCTCAATTTTACTCTCAATATTATCGTGTACAATAAAAAATTATTCGTAAAATATGGTATAGGATAAAAACAAAACAAAATCCATTAAATTAGTTGTTTGCTAACATTTCAAGTACCTTTTTTTGTTTGTGATCAAACTCTTAGAAATGAGGCTACTGACTATTACGATGTAATGATATTTTTCTTCATCTGTAAATGAGAAGTTTTAAGCTTGATTATCGTCGAGAAAAAGTTAAACTAGAGTATTACTAACTCATTCCCTCAACGTAAATAAAAAAAAGCGCTCGGCAGAGTGGGAGTGAGAGACAAGCATAAACCAAAGAGGCCTCCTCCGTCTCATAATAGTTTTCCCTAATACTCTCTCGCATTGAGACGTTCCAGTTGCCCAACCGCTCCAGACTCGCACCCAAAATCCACCACTTCTACTGGATCCATCTCTCCACTTCCCCTACCAGCTCAAACGACGCCGTCCAGCTCCTCCATCCCCCTCACCAAACCCTCGTCTTCCAAATTCAATCCCAATCCCAATCCCAAAATTCAATCAATCCCTTCAATCTATCTTCTCTCTTGGGAAGAAACCCCCAATTCGTCCCTACGTGAATTCCTTACATGCGCGTACTGCCTGTTCGTTTCGATTGCAATTAAAAAAAAAATCATTTTTTTCTGAATTTTTTTTTTAAAGTTTCGATTTTTTTGTTTGGGGGGAGATAAATAATCCATGGAGGATTGCTTGGTCAGCGACGAGGAGTACTATTACTCCGATCAGGACTCTCTCGACGTCATCGAGAACGAAGACTGTGATCTTCAGTGGATTCCCCCCAAGGGCGCCACTACTAAGGTTTTCTGATTGTTTTCTGGGGTTTTCAGCTCTTTCCTGCAATCAATAGGAGTTGAATTTCAATTATTTATTTACCGTAATTTTTTATGGGTTTTCATGGTATTAATAAAATCTGTGTATATTTTGCTTGTTTTGTTTGTTTGCGTGCATATATATGTTGTTTGTTTCAATTCGGAAAGACCTAACTTTTTGGTGTATTGGAATTTGGGTTGCTTTTCACTCTCTTAATAACTTTCGCATTTTTTTCGACATTTTGTATCATTATTGCTGTTGGGTATTTCTTTCAAATAAGTTTTGGCTCTGTTGTTCTGTACTTATTTGGGAGTTTGACGGTGTTTCTGTACTGTTGCAGGTGATTACCAAAGAATCTCTTTTAACTGCACAGGTAGGGAAAGAATAGTTCTCACTGCTTTGCTATAAATCCTCGCTAATATGTGTTACGGTTTAAGATAATGTTTCAATGGGGTTGTGTTTATGCAGAAGGAGGATTTGCGCAGGGTGATGGACATGCTATTCCTTAGGGAGCACCATGCCAGGACTTTACTTATTCATCATCGCTGGGATGTCGATAGGCTTTTTGCAGTGTATGTAGATAAGGGAAAATCTTGGTTGTTTGCTGAAGCAGGTGTAACTGTCGTTGAGCATCACGATCTTGATCCATCACCTCCCAATTCACCACTAATGTGTGCTATTTGTATAGAAGATGTACCTAGTAATGAGACGACAAAAATGGATTGCGGACATTGCTTTTGCAACACTTGTAAGTATTGTACCCGTCTTTTGCATTTTTGAATGTTACCATGTTTATTCTGTTGTGGTTTTGTACGATTATTAGTATGCAGTTCATCGAATGGTATTTTTGGATTTATTCTTCATCCTGTATTTGTGTATATATATATATGTAGTAATATGTGCATGCTTAGGTCTCTTATTCCATGTGCTTTGTTTTTCTATCATATAGCAACTGTCATAAATTTAACATTCTCTATCTTATTTAGGTTGGACAGAGCATTTCGTCGTAAAGATAAATGAGGGTCAAAGTAAGCGCATTAGGTGCATGGCTCACAAATGCAATGCCATTTGTGATGAAGCCGTTGTCAGAAATCTAGTCAGTAAGAGGCATCCCCAGCTTGCTGAAAAATTTGACCGTTTTCTTCTTGAGTCATATATTGAAGACAATAAAAGGGTTAAGTGGTGCCCAAGCACTCCTCATTGTGGGAATGCAATACGCGTCGAGGATGATCAGTTTTGTGAGATAGAATGTTCATGTGGTCTACAATTTTGTTTCAGTTGTTTATCACAAGCTCATTCACCTTGTTCATGTTTAATGTGGGAGCTTTGGGCCAAGAAGTGCCGAGATGAATCAGAGACAGTTAATTGGATCACAGTTCATACAAAACCTTGTCCTAAATGTCACAAACCCGTGGAGAAGAATGGTGGCTGCAACCTTGTGAGCTGTATCTGTGGACAAGCATTTTGGTGAGGGTTCTTTCTTCTTTTTTCCCCTTCCTCTTGCTCCCTTCAATTGATGTACTTGTATTATCATTTGTTTCTTGTACTTTTAACGTTCTTTGTAACTTGATGCATGCCCTTGCCATTACAGGCTTGACAAACTTAAAAATGAGCAAAGATTTGCATTATAGTTTTGATATCTTTTGACTGCTTTTGGAGGTATGAAACTGATTTGTACTTTCTTTACTCTGGATGCCAGTTGGCTATGTGGTGGAGCGACTGGTCGAAACCATACATGGTCAAGTATTGCAGGTCATAGCTGTGGTCGGTACAAAGAAGACAAAGAAAAAAATGCTGAGAGGGCAAAGCGGGATCTTTACCGGTATATGCACTATCATAACCGGTACAAAGCTCATACTGATTCCTTTAAGCTTGAAAGTAACTTGGAGGAGAGTATACAAAAGAAGGTGTCAATTTCAGAGGAGAAGGATTCGAATCTCAGAGATTTTAGTTGGGTAAACAATGGACTCTCCAGACTTTTCAGATCAAGGAGGGTTCTTTCATATTCGTACCCATTTGCTTTTTATATGTTTGGAGAAGAGCTGTTTAAGGATGAGATGACAAAGGAGGAAAGGGAAATAAAACAAAATTTGTTTGAGGACCAGCAGCAGCAACTTGAGGAAAATGTTGAGAAATTATCCAAGTGTTTGGAGTCGCCTTTTGATCAGTATAGTGAGAATGAAGTTATGGATATAAGGATGCAAGTGATCAATCTCTCAGCAGTTACAGATACCCTATGTCAGAAAATGTGAGTGCCTGAAAATATCTCGATATAACTCTCTACAACATGTAGTTATTAATGTATTTGTGTATATATGTGATGCTCATCTACACATGTTATTTAAACTGTATGCAGGTATGACTGTATTGAGACTGATTTATTGGGCTCTCTACAACTTGGTATCCACAACATAGCTCCTTACAAGTCAAAGGGCATTGAGAAGGCATCAGACCTTCCCGTTAGTTGGGTCAATAATGCTGATAAAGGTCTAGCGTTGCATTGCGGCACAAGCGGTAAAGTCGATTCCATGAATCCTTCTGCCTCCCTTGATGTCCTAATTAACAAAAAAGAATCAAAAGTATGGTATTCAAACATCTAAGCATTATTGAGTGTAGTTGAACCTATCAACTTTTTATGTATCATTATTGTGGTATACTCAGGAGCCGGATTGCATGCTGAAATTTTGTTATAAATATTATGATATTTAACAATGATAGGTTATATATTTGACTATGCCTCATCTTACTTATGTTTTTACAATACAACTTAAGCATGTATCTTCATCTGCCGATAGTGTTTTTGGTATGTCTAGCTATAGCTTAAAATATATAGTCTTCCCTTATTTTCAATGGTTATTTGTTAGCTTATGATCAGTTTTTTTGCTGCTTAGGTAATGTTTTAACCTGAAGTTGATATCAAAAATTGAAGGCTTTTTTGCTTCTTCTGTGGTCAGCTTCTTTCACCTTTCTTGTAGTTGTATAGATTATTGAGAAACTTATATCTGATTGGTATCCCGGTAGAAAGATAAGAAACTTGGACCTTTCTTTTACAATGTCTAGTGGCTATCACATATTTCCTATGTCTTTATCAGTCTAGTAGCTCTTCCAACTAGCAACGCATCGTATCTTCTTGGCATTGTGATTTTGTATTTTCCATTGGATAGACTGTACTTGTAAAACCCTGGTCTGCAGCAGTCATATGACTAATTTTTCCGATGAACAAAAGCAATGTAATGTAGTTATATTATTTGTTCTTGGTAGTTAAAAGAAATTTGTTGGGGGTGCAAACCATCAACATTTCTTTGCTTTCCTGTCATGTTCAGTTTAAAGAAGAATTTCATAATATCGTGTCTTGTATAGGACATGATGGACGCAAAATAGAAAACTCAGGCTAACATGTCTAAGATTTTACTGATACACTTGTAATGCAGGAGGATCGACAGAACTGGAACAACCTTCAGGTTTTGGAAGTTCAGATGAGAGTGGATGCTCTTCTCGGAAGCGTGCTAGGAAGGAGGGTCTTGGAGGTGGTTTTGATCTAAACTTGCCAGCAGAGGTTGACAGATCTGATTCATGAAAGTCGCGCGCTTCCTACAGAAAAAAGGTGTACAGTCTCTAACGTAAGACCCTATTTTTCTATGATGGTATTATCATTATTAAACACATAAGCACTCTAAGTTCTAAGCTCCCAAGTGCTCTGAGTTTTCCCATTCTTATCCTTTTTGCTTCCATCTGTTTCTCGTGGAAGAGAAATTCGGAGATCCTTGTATCTAGATCTATTTCCTTTTCGAAAATGCGTATTTTGTAGATAAAGTTATGGGGGTGCTTTTCGGGGGAGCTAAAATGTAAATTTTCCAACTGAATCATGAGCTATTCTTAAGTTATCTTGGGATAAAATTCAAAATTTTTGGAGACTGGAAATAATCTAACTCGTATAATTTTTTTTTAGGACGTCGGTTTCTTGTATTTCTTGCTTTGCCTGTTTTTTTGTGTGCAAGTAATGAAAAGTCGATAAAAGGAATGATTCTACATTCATGTAATTGAACTGAAAACCTACACACTATCTGCATTTGGTGGCAACCCAACCTACTCAAATCTAACACTCACTTTGGATCAAGTGTTTTATAAGGTAAGCATACATGGTGTAAATTCATAGCCCGAATTAGAAGTCGGGCAGGCAAATACGGGTCGGAGAGTTTCCAACCCGAACAAGTTACGTAGATATCTATACATGTGTATTCATTTACAGTGTATCACTATTATCGGTTGCACTTCAGGTTTATATTAGATTTTTCAACTTCATTTCGAGGGGAAGTTTTTCAGCATCGAACTTACGGTCATGTGGTATTGGCAGTCCGCTCATGTTGAAACGCATGTATATCGGTGACTCCTAACTCAAATTTTTTGTTTTATCAATACTACACCTGTATATCGTTGACTCCTAACTCAAATTTTTTGTCTTATCAATACTACACCTTGGATTCATGAATTATTGACCCCTTCTCCCGTATTATAATAATACGTTAATGGGTGACTCTGTGTGACCGTGGCCGGCAAAACATGGCATGAAGATTGTGTTTAAGAAGCTCCAAAATCATTGGGGAAGAGACATAAAATTGGATCCGTACAAGTCCCTCAATTTAGAAAATCAAGGAAATTTGAAATTTTGTCCAAGGGGGAAAATTTTGTAAGTAATTTATAATTTAAAAGAATGAAGATAGCTATACTTAGACCATCTCCAATGGTTGGGTTAAAAGTCAAATATTTTAGTCCGGAAAATTTAATTTTTAGCCCAAAAACAATTTTTCTGCTCTAATCGTTCTACCCTAAAATTTTAGTCGGGGATTATTAAAGAATGAACTTAGGCTTTTTTTTTTGTTAAATTAAATTAAAAAAAAAATATGTAGACTATCGTAAATTAATTTGATGAACATTTTAGTATAAAAAATTTTAAATTCCGATAAATATTGAAAAATTTAAATTCCAATTTTTGGGCTAAATTTTGGGGGGAATCTGGCCTTGGTTTAGCATTTAGCATTTAACCCAAAATTTCCCCTTGGGTTGGAGTGGGTTTGGGGGGGGGGGGGAGGATTTGGGGGGTAATTTGGCTTTTAGCCCACTATTGGAGTTGGTCTTAGCACTCATTAATTAAAAGTAAATAAATTTTTGTTTTTAACAAAAGATATTATCTAATACTTGAATCAACTAGGATCAAACCATGTCAAGTGACTCAACATCCTCTTCCATCCTTCTAGACTCTATCCTCCAACCTTTTTTTTAATTTTAAAAAGGGGTCCACTTTTTCGGGGGTTGAGAAGACTCACAGAGGCATTTCAGCCTCTCGCTGGCCACTATATTGTGATTCACCAGAATGTACCGTGTGAAATACGAGCCTAAAATTCATCATCAACCACTAAGTCACCCCGTAGTGGTTGACTCTACGCTCCAACTTGGCTTTCACACAACCTAAAAAATAACAAGACGGTTTGGGTCATAACACTTTATTTAACTTCATTTGTTACCTAATACAACAATATATACACCACGGGCTTAAGAATTCATGTTAGGCCTCATGGCAGCCGGTAATCCATAATAAATTGATATCGAACTCTTCTTTCACAAAATCAAATTTAGGTCCTCACAATTTTAAGTGAGGAGGAATTCACTAGGCCGTAGGCGATAGCAATTCTGACACACCCCGACTGAGATCAAGGCATGTTGGGCGTCACGTGAGGATGATGTAGTCATGTGCACATTGCGGAAGCAATTAAGATAAGAAATATACGAATATTTAAAAACCGAAACTACTAGAGTGCACTAGAAAACAGGAAGTGTTAGGAGTCAATTACAAAAGTAAATTCTCCTAATCAGAGCATAATAAGTCTAGGTGCAGTTCAGTAGGACAAGTACTAGTTATACAGTACTAGGAATGTCCTACTATTATTTAGATATGTTAGAACCGCCGAAATCCTCAGGGCCACCGACAACAAGCTTACCTAAAACCTGGAAGGGCGCAAAACAGAAAACATGAATGGGCAAAAACAAATGTTTTACAAAACCATTTCATTTATCAACATATCTAACCCCTTGCTGTAAAACATGTATAATTTTTCCTAGAATTAAGATATATGCATATACATAAATATATATGTAATTATATCCAATCAAATCATGTTTCACATAATCATATGCCAAGCCAAGATATAACAGAGTAAGTAATTCAGGTAAGAATAATTTCATATAAATATAACATGTTAGCCGGAACCCCTGTGGTAGCATGTACGGCTGAATTCATAGCTCAAAAGTCAATCTAGCCGGAGTCACTACAATGACCTATACGACACTATACTGCACAAGAGTCGGAACCAAATGAAAAGGTCTCCACGACAATAATGGGTGTAATATAATCATGCTCAATGCTACTCACACATAATAGTTGGGTGATAAATCGCTAGTCACCTACGAGTCGGAACCATCTAAGATAGTCTATACGATAGGACTGTGCACCTAAATTGGATCCAATATGAGCATATGGTGCGGGATGTGACATAAAAAAAAGGCATGTGCCATATCTCTGGCTAAATCACAATCACCCTAGGTGCAGTTTTATGAGCTCAACATTATTTAATCACATATCGCACATCATTGATAATTCACATAACCAAACATAACTCACCTGAGCTTACCCGAGCGTCCACAGCACTACAATTATATTTATAATGCATCATATATCAATTCATATACGAAATATAAATTCATATGAATGGCATTTAAGGCATACTTTCATTTAAACACATATTTCTGGGAAAATATCAAGTGTGTATATATATATATATATACTGAAAACCAAAAGCCCACTCACTGATATGTCGAAGGGTCGTAGCCCCCGAGTCGCCCTTGAACACGCTCGTCCTCGGGATAAGTCTCACATATATGCGAATTAACTATAAAAACATTATTTAAAGCACATAGGCAAAACTAGCTAATAACTTCTCATACAATGCTCAATTTTGGTATTTGAATATACCACAGTGACCTACACAACCTCAGGATCATTCCCAAATTTTTAGAATATTTTTCTAACCCCTCACGCGCCGCCACGCGCCGGTGAGTGCACAGCAACATGCGCGGCCACGCGCAGGGAATCCTAACAGATTCTCTCACTACCGTTAGGAATATTCCGTTAAAACCCAATGGTAACTGTTAAAGATGACTAACGACATTAGCATATTCCGTCAACCTTGACGGAAGATACTCCTTTATTCTCCGGCGAGTCACCTGTTGCTGGCGACTTTGCCGGTTTCTGGGTAAAACTTTAAAATGCTTATTCTACTTCGTTTCTTCACCATTTTCCACAAAAATTGGTACCAAAATGAAGCTAATAACATGTAGAATCACGTTATATAAGTTTCAAGGCTTAACTTTTATTAGAGTTTCCTCGAAAAAGCTCGATAGTTCGGCTTACCTAGATACACGTCGATCTCAGCCCTTCGACATCCATTTCCTTCCAACGAAATACCCCGAGACTCGTGAGGACCTCTTTAAGCTTCCTATAAGCTTCAAATTCCCTGAAAAACAATATTTCACGTATGCATGAACAGTGACAAAATCGGTGGTTCATGGTTTGACGTGAAATCAAAGGATTCCTTACCTATAAATGGTACCAATCGATTCGTCTGAGCTTCACGAACACAAAGGTGTGCTTAAGTCCCTCGATCTGTCACGTTTCAAATGGTTTTGGGTGACGTCCGTACAAGAGAGAAGGGAGAGAGTGAGTCTGAGAGAGAGAGAGATATATAGCACGGGAAGGAAGAGAAAGGATGTGTGTTGTGTGTGAGCTCCACGTGGTCACCACCCAACCAAGGAAATAACATCTAAGTCTCCAAAATAAGTCACACACACTAAAATTTCAACATCCAAGGATAAAACTGTCATTTTACATCACCGATAACAATAATTTGGGACGGCATGTGACAAATTCAATCCGTTAAACCCGATAACGATGAATAACCGTCCCAATATGGCAGATTTGGGAATGAAATTCGGTTATTTTTCGGTTACGGGGAAAAACCATGAATATTGATTCGGTTATGGTTTCAGATATAGTTATAGGGGTTTTCGATCGTTATCCATTCCCGAATCCGCTTCAAATAATATATATATATATATATATATATAATATAACGTATATGTATATTCATAAGTATTGGAATTATTTGATAATTTGTTTAGCCTTTCTCCCATAGTGATTGTTTTATTTGCTTTTGTCATCTCCTTCCTTTTTTCATGGGACCAATTTGCCTTAATTTGCTATCATATTTGGCTTATCAAGAACACTTACATAAAGTATTGTTATGTTTTTGATGATTCGGGCGTGGATATTTGATGACGGGAATAGTATCTATTAAATTATAATGCGTAAACGAATTATATTTTTTTCATTGATAAAGATGGATATAGTCGTTAACCGATGCAGATTTTGTTACCCGGATCTGTTACTCGATGGTTAATTTGTGGCTACGGATATGGTTAATTTCCATGTTTATGGGCATGAATATGTCATTTCCGTCCCCAAATCGAACGGTTGCCATCTCTAACTAGACTTGGCATTTTGTGTTGTGTTTCTTATGTTTGTATTGTTTTCGTGACATACTCGATATCTTATTGGGTCGTGTCGTGCAACACTCGTTAAAGTAAGCGAGCAATATGACCTGACCCAAAATTGACCTGTTAATATTATCAGGTAATAAGACCCGACCCATTACCCGTTTAAGAAAATATATTTTAAATCAATAAATAATAAAAATAAAAAACATAATTTGACCTAAAAAAAATAGAAAACATAATACTAAATTAGTATATACACACCACATTGTCACATAAATATTACTTCGAAGCATAAAAAAAACGTTTGTCTTTCAAGTATTACATACTCCAAAATAAGAGTCTAATGAAAAAACATTAGTACATTAATATAAAATACCAAATGTTCATGGATATGCAAAATGAAGGGAGTTACATTTCAAAGTTGGGAAATCTTGTACGTTTATATATGCTTTCACATTTTTCAGACTTGTACATTAATGATTATGAATTTTATTTATTTTGAACTCCCTTAAAAAAATATTTATGAGGGTTTATATTGGCACGCCCCGATCCTGATGTCTAGAGGACAGCGAGATGGCCATGTGCTAGCCAACACCCGAGGGTGACGCAAGTCATTTAATGAATGCATATGCCGAGAACATGTGAAACATGCATATAAATTTCACGCGAACTACACAATGTAATATTCATATACGAACCTTACCAAAATAATATAATAATATTCAATCATCAATAAAATGCTAGTGATAATGCATGACATGTTCAGAGCATACATCTAATTCAGAATACAAGTAGAAGGTGTGATAGAAAGTGCTATTCCAAGTGATGTCAAAGTAGAGAAGATGACACGATATCACTGGTAGGGGAATGCCTCATAACTTGGATCGTATGCCTCGTTCTTAGGTCTTGAGGGGGTGCAAAACAAAACATGAGTGGACCATGTTGATACATAAGTAGTACTAACATAATTATTCAACAATGTAGTAACCCCCAAAGTTTATGAAAACTCATATAGCATAATAAGTAATAGGTTTTCCGAAAACCCTAGCATGCTATAAAACTTCATAAAACATATATCATATATAGTGTGCTAAGTAGTGGTATCAAAATCGCCTAAAGGCAAGTCGTTTGCCCGTAGGCATATCATTCGCACGTAGGCAAGACATACGCCCATAGGCAGGACATATGAGTGACCACCAAATAAGCACAAAAATCATTGAACATAATCTTTCCAAAGTATAAGTATATATATCTCAATGGAGCTCAGTAGCTCAAACATCATATCATAAATCATGTTTATAGTATATAGTCATCAATCATATATACTACAAACAACATAAAGTCGATAAAGCATGAAATATCATACAACGTAAATCCAATTTACTCATAAACATTTCATAAAACATAACCATTAAATCATGTTTTTCATGTATGCATTTCTAATAGTTAAATCATGCATTTTAGAAAGGGTTCCCTCACTGATACTCCGTCGTAAAAAAGCCGTGCGAAAAAGGAAGGACGAAAACGCCGCTAACAACCGCATCTAAGCACATAAAGGGTCTAATTAATAGAACTCTACCATAACGATTGAATTTCAAAAAACAGACATCATACACGGATTCAAGACGTTGGAAAACATAAGGGGATACCTTAGGTACCCCCACGCGCCGATTTGGGTCCCCATAAAGTTGGCCAAAAAAGTTGCCGGCGTTGGTGTGGACGGCAACAGAGCACAGTACCTTCAGTGGAGGCACGTGTGCTCCATGCGCATGCCAAGACAGGCGCCCACGCTCGCCCATGTGTAGGCCCACGCGCCGACTGGATATGGGCTCTAATTGGGTTTGGGCTTGGGCCTGGACTTTGGGGTTTTGGGCAGGGCTGGACAATTGGGCAGGGTAATAACTTGGGCTTGGATTGGGTTTTAGGGTTATCGGGTCGAGTCGACCCGGTTTCAGGCCAAGGGTTGGCCGGTTTCTGGGCAAGTCTTTAGACGCTCATAACTTCTCCAATATTCAACTAAATCGAGTTATTCAAAAATGAAAGTTGTAGTACTCAACGAGATGAAGAGAATGGTTCCTTACACGATGACTAACTTTCCATGATTTGACCGGAAAACGCCTCGAACGTGGTGGTGCTCGCCGAAAACTGGGAAAAGTTACTCCTAACTAATTTCTGCGTTTAACACGTATGTACAACATAAAACAAGTTTCGATCTACTCTTAAAACACATCCCAAGGGTTTCTAGAAGCTTACCAACATCGGGAAATTTATGAAACACGTCGGAGTTCGTCGGAGGATGGTGCACCGAGACTATCACGATGGAGCACCAACCTTGCCTGAGGTTTTCGAGGTTGCACGTCCAGGTGGTGATGGTGGTGGTTTGTGGTGTGCGTGAGTTCCAGAGAGGAGTGGGAGAGTTGCACAGAGAGAGCTTGGGGAGAGGGAATAGATAGAGAGAAAGAGGGAAAGTGATAGGAGAGAAAGAGTGTGTGTGTTATAATAATGCAAAAGAATACAAAATATCCCAAAAAGAGAAAGGGGGAATCCGGGTAGGGTGAGGAGATAAGGGGACAAGAATCCCATATGGGTCCCACGATTCGCAATCTAAGAACATGTAGGACAAAACATCAAAACTATCCGAAAACGTTCAACGTTCGAACGTAGAATCTTCGTTATAAATCTGATTTCGAATCCGTTCGCGCCTACGCGTTCGTGGCGATAAGTACATTAAGAATCATTTAATAAAATTAAAACTACACGTTTCGACGAGACGGCCAAGCAAAGTCAACTCAAGGGCAAAATGGTAATTTCATAAGTTCGTTAATATGAAAATACACTAAATTTGGGACGGGGTTTCACATATATGGTTTTAAAAATTCAAACGACAATGTACCCATACTCAAAGCGTAGAAGAAGCGATCACGAGCCTTTGCATATTTTTTTTCACATTTTTTCACACTTGTAAATTAAGTATTATAATTTTTTAATGTGTTTGGTGTTTTTAAATTACTTGATATTTTTATTTTTAATGTGTTTTAATTTTTTTTTAATCTCACTCTTTGCCTATAGTATATACTATGAAAATAAATAAATAAACAAAATTTTTTAAATTTTTTTATATAGAATAATAATACAATAATACATATTTAATATATAATATTTACATATACACTGTGACTATTGTATTTTATAGTAATTTTTTTTAGTACTTTTAAAAATTAGAATCATAAAATAATATTTTTCTTATCATGTCGAAACGGGTTACTCGCGTGTTATCTTCATGTAAACCTGTTAAGGATTTGTTAGTAAGGTGTTATTATCGTGTGACCCGATAATGATTCGATTTATTTTCGTATTATTTACGTGTCGTGTAAGAATTTGCAAGGTCTATCTCTAACTAAGTGGCAACTAATCCTAACCTTTTGTTTTGTTTTGTTGATACAACAATATTATTTACAGTAAGGGTTGAGAGGAATACATTGGTATCGAACTTGTTATTTAACAGATTCAAATCTAAGACATCTTACTCACACGTGAAGAAAAAATACCACTAGACCGTGATACTAAGTGGTAAACAAGTTTAATTGCTATCAACCCGAGCCAATAAGCCCCAACACAAATCCACGTTTTAATTATAAGTTCAGCCATCACTTAGTACTGCAGTATAGTGGTATTTCTCTCACTTGTAAGTGATAAATTCTAAATCGAATCTTGTAAATAGCGAGTTCGACACCAATCACTTCGCCCTACCACTTAATATAAATATACAGTTGTATTAAAAAAATAAAAAATGGTTTCAACCAAAAAGGCCAGGTCCGTAATACAAAAGTTTTGGGCAACCTTAAATAAATAATACTTGAAAGCCCAAAGAAACGCATAAGTCGACTGCTCCTGAGCCCACAAATGGCTTTGAATATCTCACTCTCTCTCTCTCTCTCTCTCTTTACAGCATCGTCCTCGCTCGCAGCACAGCAAGATCGTAAATGCTCTCACGCTCTGTTTCTCTCCTTTACGTGAGTCCAGGTTCAGCTCTTGTTTTCTCCGTTACTATTATTATTATTATAACTTTTGGCTGAACTTTTGGGTTTTTTGATCTCTCTGATTGTCGTTACGATTGGAATGGGGAATTTAATTTTTTATTTATTTTTATTGTTTGGGTTCTCTTCGCTTTGGTTGATTCTCCGGTTTCTGGGTTGGATATACGGCGGGGTTTTTTCGCCATTGCTGCACATCAGCCTCACTTTGTTAGTGGAGGGTGTGTGGCTGTTCTTCCCAGGAGGGATTGAAGCTTTGGGTTTAGGGTTAGGAGCCATTGAAGGAGGGTTTAGGGTTTTTTATTTTATTTTCGTGCTGATTGTGATTACAAGTAAAATATTGGGAAATGCAGAGGGATAATGGTTGTTCTTTTTACTTGGAGATTCAATTTATTGGGTTCTTAGGGCATATGAAAATACCCTCTTTGTAATTTTACAGACGATGAATTTATTATCGTATGAAGCAGTGAAAAGATGAATGGGTAGAAAACATATTCAAGAGAACAAAAGTGAAATTTTTTCATTCCACTCCATAAAAGTTTCGTTTTTATTTTATTTTATTTTAAATTTGATAGCAAACTCAAACCAGACTTTGTGGATATTAAACATATTGTTCAATGATAAGATTACGGTTGTGTTTCTGGTTGTAGCTTATTTGGACTTGTGTGCTCATTTTGTATTTTTCTGATGTAGTATAAAGATAGAGGCTTTCGTGCTCAGCATTCAGTAGTGAGATCGAGTTAGCTTTCTCAGCAATTCAGATTATTTTGGTTACCATATAGTACTATGTACAATCAGTTTTTTGCCTATACTTTCGGTTCAAAGTTAATACTGCAAGTTTTTTTTTTTAATAAAATAAAATTATTTGCGTATAAATTCATTCTTCCCTAGTTGTTGATCTGGGCTGCAACAGTTTGTCTATATCTGGTTCTTGTTACTGCTAGTATCTGACTTCTTTTTTTTCTCTTGATATGTTGGTTTGTACAGTCCATTCCTTTATGCATGTTTATTCACTACTAACATATGTAATCAAATTATACTTGCTTCCCCTGCTTTGGTATAGAGAGTACTTTAATCTCTTGACGTGCTTATACTATATACAGATCATTGTACAATTCCATAAGTAGCTGCCAGTGGTTAGTCAAACTGTATATCATTTGAGCTGTAATATTTTATCACATTCGGATTTCAGAGTCTCAGGAATAGTTGTGTAAACATTGTCCTTGTTTTGTATTCAGTAAGTTGCACCCCACAAAAGAGAGAGAACTGACCCTCAGTCCGTGAGAGACAGAAGGAAACACTACCATGAATGCTCCAGACCGATATGAACGATTTGTCGTCCCTGAAGGGACAAAAAAGTAATTATAATCTCTCTGGAAAAAATTTCAGCTCCTTTTTGAAGTATAAAGTCTGAATCCTTATTTTTTTTCTCTTTGTAGGGTGTCATACGAGAGGGACACGAAGATCATCAATGCAGCATCGTTTACAATTGAGAGAGAGGACCACACCATTGGCAACATCCTCCGCATGTATGCAGGCCTTTTCCTTTAGTTCAAGTTTTTATTGATTTTGCAACTTTTTCTCATTCTTAGATCACTTGTATAAACTTAACAAAACCCTATTTTATAATTTCCTTTGAAAATTGTGGCATTCAGGCAGCTACACAGGGACGAGAATGTTTTGTTTGCCGGCTACAAGCTTCCTCACCCCCTTCAGTACAAGATTATTGTCAGGGTTAGTTTTCCCAATTTAATTCGCTATGATTACCTTATCCTCCGCAACGAAAAAGAGGAAGGAAAAAAAAATGCTAATCATGAAATGAGAAGTAGAAGTGCTCATATAATGTTGTGGTTGTGACCTGAACCTGTAAATGTTTTTGTAGATTCACACAAGCAGCCAGTCTTCACCAATGCAAGCATACAACCAGGCTATTAATGATCTTGACAAGGAACTTGACCATTTGAAGAGTGGTTTTGAGGTAATGCTTTTTGATGCTTCTCCTTCTCAACGCTTGCTTTGGTAAAACTCTGAGTGTTGGTCCAACTAAATAAAGGCGTTGAGAATGCTTTTGAGATTCGAAACTTACCCCATTTTTAGCATTTTTTGAGATTTTTAATATTGTGCTTCTGTGGAGCCCTCTTCTGTTAAAAATGGAGTGAACTTCAGTTTCATGGTAGTTCAATCCTAACGATTCATGGTGTCAAATGAATCTTATATTTCTATCATCATAGGTCTAGCGGATAATGATTGATATCAAGCATCTGAGAGTATAAGATTATGAAATTGTTATTATGTTCGACACAAGTTCAAAAATGTTTTAGAACAAACTGGAGCATAAATGTTCAACACAAGTTCTAAAATATTCATGTGAAAGGATATGCTTCATTTTATAAGGCTGTTAAGTACTATGAATGTGTCATGAATTTTGTACTTAGGAGTACAATGAGTGCATTTACATTTCAAAATCCCGTATGCAGGCTGAAGTTGCAAAGCATTCAGTGGAGTACTAGTAGGCATCATTCCGGATCTGTAAGGAACATGTCAGATACTGACATCCGACTGTTGTCTTCTTTAATTATGGATCAAAGTACTTTGTGTGAAGTTTTTATGTTTCGCTGTATCATGAATGTTTATGGATAGTTATGAAATGAGATCAGGATGAAGGGGCTAACAGTTTCTTGAAATATGGTGTGCATTGCTTCTTAGCATTACTCGTATATTGCACGTAGTTAGCTTTCAGGTCATGCAGTAAATTCACGCCTCCTTGTGCGTGGTCGTCTGCATCTGTATGTCATAAATTTTGAGAATTACGATGCACACCACGTATATTGCACGCTGTAAAAGGTCGGCATGTTTTGTAACCCCTTTGCTGCTGCTCATGTGTGCAACCTGCAAAAGGTAACTCTGAAATTTAGTTATGAATTCACCATTTGGGGTGTTCCCCTCTTGTTCACATATCATGAGAGTGGAAATTGAGGGTAAAAATGTGGTTAAAATATATGAACGTACTTGACTAAATGTGTACTGTTATGAAACCTGCTGCCTGATTTACACAAACGACACTCGGTGGTAAAAATGGGGAGAAAATGAGTGTTGAAAATTTAGGATTTGTGTCAACTGTCAAGGTTGGGAGTTTATTGGGCCCTTGTCATACCTAATCAAGAAATTTGTAGACTATAATCTTGATTTGTGATGGATAAACATTTACGTTGAAGGGAATGAAATCTTATATATATATATATATATATATATATATATATATATATATATATATATATATATATATATATATCTTAGAGGAAATTGTAGCAATGGTCATTCAATATCTTAAAGGAAATTGTAACAATGGTCATTCAATTTTAACCTAACTGGAGTAATGGTTCCTTAACTAAAAACTTGTGATTATTGGTCCCTTAACTAATTAAAATGTACAGCTAGTCTTTTTTTGTTAATTCTGTCAAAACTTCCGTCAAAATGAGTCACGTGTCATGCATGT